TGTTAGGTTGATTTGTACTTTTGTTCACTGTGATCTGAGAAGATACATGGTATAAGTTCTATTTTTTATTTTGAGGTTTACTTTGTGTCCTAGGATATGGTCCAATCATAGAGAATGTCCGCCGAGCTGATGAGAAGAACGTAGTATTCAGTGTTTGAGGTAGAATGTCCTGTAAAGTCAGTCAGACCCAATTGTTCTAGAGTTTTGTGTAAGTCTATTATTTCTTTATTAATTTTCTGTTTGGAGTTCTGTCTTGTGCCGTCAGTGGGGTGTTGAAATCTTGGGTTATTATGGAGTTGCTATTAATCAATTAATTTGCTTAGATCCAGTAAGGTTTGCTTTATGAATCTGGGTGCACCTATGTTTGGTGCATATATATTTAAAATTATTATCTCTTCTTGTTGAACTGTGCCCTTCACCATTATATAATGACCCTCTTTGTCTTTCACTACTTTAGTTGGTTTAAAAACTAAATCGTCTGAATAATGAATGCCATCACCAGCCTTCTTTTGGCTTCCACTGGCTTGCAATACTGATCTCCACCCTTTTACTTTTAGTCTAAATGCATCTTTGCAGGTTAGAGGTGTTTCCTGAAGACAGCATATACTTGGCCTGTATTTTCTTATCCATTCAGCCAGCCTATGTCTCTTGAGTGGAGAGTTTAAGCCATTCACATTTATTGAGATAACTGATAGGTAAGGTAAATTACTGTTCATTATGTTGGGTTGAACTTTGTTGTTTTGTTTTCTCTCTTGAGCCATTGTAGTGTCTGGGCTTTGATCTGTAGCTTTGAGTAGATTTACATTTGTGAGTGTTTATTGTTCTGATCCGTGGTACACTGTTTTGAGTATTTCTTGAAGGCTGGTCTTGTCTTGGTGAATTCCCTCAGTCTTTGCTTATCTGAGAATGTCTTGATTTCTCCTTCATATACGAAGCTTAGTTTTGCAGGGAATAAGATTCTAGGCTGGGAATTGTTCTGTTTCAGAAGAGTATGTATGGGGCCCCAGTCTCTCCTTGCTTGTAGAGTCTCAGTAGAGAAGTCTGCTGTTATTCGAATTGCCTTTCCCTTGTATGTTACTTGCTTCTTTTGTCTTACAGCTCTTAGAAGGGCTCTTTTGTTGATATTTTGGTCAGTCTGATGACTGTATGTCATGACGTCTTCCTGTTTGCATTGACTCTCCCAGGGGTCCTCTGAGCTTCTTGAACTTGTACATCGAGATTTTAGCAAGGCCTGGGAAATTTCCTCTATTACATCTTCGAATAGTTTGTCCAACCCTCTGAGTGTTGTCTTCTTCCCCTCTGGTAACCTATGACCCTCACATTAGGTTTTTTCACATAATCCCACATCTCTTGTAGGCTTTGCTCTTTTCTCTTGTTTTCTTGGTCTATCTCTGTGACTGATTTATTTAATTGGAAGGTGTTATCTTCATCTCTGAGATTCTTTCTTCTGTTTTCACCCTGTTCTTGAGCGCTTTCCACTGAATTTTGTAGTTCCCTGAATTGATTCTTCATTTCCAGGAGTTGGTGAAACTTTTCTTCATTGTATTGATTTCTTTGTGAACTTTGTTCCAGGTCCTGGTGGCTTTTTGTGGTTTCTTTGTGTTAGTTATTGAGTTGTTCTGCAGGTCGTTGAATTTTCTTATGATCCACATTCGAAATTCCTCTTCTGTCATTTTGGTTGCCTGATTTTGGTTGGTGTCCGTTTCTAGGGGGCTGGTGCTCCTCTTTGGGTGTGTTTTCGTTTGGTTCTTCATATTTCGAGTTCCTTTGCTGATTTTTCCATGTCGATCAGTTGTTGTTCTTTCCTTAGGTTTTTGTTTGGGTATTCACATGCCTTGTTTAGTTTCTGAGCCGGTAGGTGGTGTCTGTGGGTGAGATTCGACCACTCCCTGTATAATGAGTCAGTAAGTGGTGTGAAGGGAGTGTGCAGGGTGTCTTCCTTTTCAGTAGGTGGCACTTACTTGAAGGAACAGGCTATGCTGTTGTTTTTGTGACCTTGACCAGCTCTTGTTCCTCTAGAGAGGCACTCTAGTGCCTCAGGTGGTGGGTGGGGCCCTGGGACTTCCAGGTGTGTCATTTTCTCCCTCTCAGTGAGGGCTGGTCTGGGAGTGAGTCTGGGCAGAGCTGGGTTGGGTAAGCCTGCCCTCAGATACCACCAATACCATGAGCAGGGTTCCAAGTTCTGTTTTCTGCTTCCAGGAAAAGCTGCCAAGGAGTGGCTGGAATGGCCCCGCTCAGTCAGAGAGTCTGTGTGTTGGGTTGGGGCTGTCTAAGACCCACAATTTAGAGCGGGCCTCGCTTATTTCCACCCTCGCCAACTCCGAGGCTACTCCTGGGCCTCTGCCAGCAGGCCAGACCTCATGCCACTGGGCCTCCCCTGGCTGTGATGCTGGCCGGGAGGTTCCCTGCACAGGAACGCCACCTGGTCTGGGCGCACGGCCTGACTTTGGGAGGAGGGTTGCCCTCTAGGACGCTGATCTGCCTCTGAAGGCACACACACCTCAGTAGGCTGTTCACATATATCCCTTCTGTGTCCCGGACAATGTGAGACCTCAGTGCACAGGATCTGGTCTGCAGGTCTGACCTCTGGGTCCCAGAATTCAAACTATATCCCCACCAGGAAGAGGAGTGCCAATCTCAATTCACCCACGAGGAACCCAAGCTGAGTCTGTGTCTCTCAGCCTCAGGGTCTGCCCTGTTCTTCTGGGATCACCGGGCCAGCAGCTCCTGGGAGGGCTGGCGGGTAGGGAGCTCATTGTCTGAGTTCCCCTCAGTCAGCTGTAGGGCCCCAAAAGGTAAGGTCCCGTTCCCTGGAGGTGCCTCTGGCTGGTGGCTATACTGTCTCTCTCGGCAGCCGCTGATAGGGTCAGGGGAGGGGAGAATGAGGCAATATGGCGCCTGCCGCGAGGCTCAAGTCTGTGCATAGGGAAGTGCCCTGTGGGAGTTGGGAGCCTGGTGCAGCCTCCGCTACAGGCTTACCGCTCACTGGCGGTGGCCATCTCTGTGCTGGTATCCGCAGGTCTCTCCACCGGCTGAGGAGCCCACAAGCAGTGGGAGATGCAAGGGAGGGGAGAGTTAATCGCTCTACCTACCCTTGCTGCTGGTCTCCGGGCTGCTCTGGAGGTCTCTGCTTCCAGTTTTCCTCCACAACCTCCTCCCGTAGAGTCTCCTGTGGTCTCAGGTACCCCTCCTTCCGACCCTCATCTGATGTATGCTTGTCTTCTTGCTTCTTTCTTCTAATTTCTGCTAGTATCTGTCTTTTCTTCAGAGACACTCTGTCTGGCGGTGTTTCTTGTCTGCCATCTTGATTTGGATCCTCCACTCCTTTCCAATGCTGTGTGTATTTGCCTGATCATATGACTCTTTTTTTTTTTTTTTTGAGACAGAGTCTCACGTTGCCCAGGCTAGAGTGAGTGCCAATGTGTCAGCCTAACTCACAGCAACCTCAATCTCCTGGGCTCAAGTAATCCTGTTGCCTTAGCCTGCCAAGTAGCTGGGACTACAGGCATGTGCCACTATGCCCGGCTAATTTTTTATATATATATTAGTTGGCCAATTAGTTTCTTTCTATTTATAGTAGAGACAGTGTCTCGCTCTTGCTCAGGCTGGTTTCGAACTCCTGACCTCGAGCAATCTGCCCGACTTGGCCTCCCGGAGTGCTAGGATTACAGGCGTGAGCCACCGCCCCCGGCCCATATGACTCTTATTAGAAAATAGCAAGATGACGGACAAATCCTCCCAGGAAATGCTGTCAACTGACTTTGGGGACAGTAATTATAAAAGCGTCATAAACCCACATTTAACAATAAAGCTTATGTGATAACCATAACAAAGAATGAGAGTAAGACTGAACATTTCTGAACCCCTTGTTCCTGAACACCTTAAAGCCAGGTCCTTTTTGTAAGTTTTTATTTAACTCTCAGTGATTCTGAGTTAAGCACAACTCTTTGCCTCATCACACAGAGAAGAAAATCTAGGCCCAGCCAGGAAATCAGGGAGCACTGTGAGGGCCAAGATTGAGGCTAGTCTGGGCTCTTTCCCCCAGTGTTTCTCAAGGAGTGGTCCCTCTGCATGAGACTCATCTGGGGGGCACAGTCAAGTTTATATTCCTGGGCCCCCAAGTCCTCCAGGATGACAGGGCCAGGACTCTTTATCATGCTCCCACAGTAGGGTTGCCAGTTGCTATAAAGAACACCCAGGTACATTTGAATTTCAGATTAACAATGAATAAAGAAATAACAAAATGCCCAAATAGGCCACGCTTAAACTAAAAAAAAAAAAAAATTCATTGTTGATCAGAAATTCAAATTTACCTAGACGTTCTTCTTTTATTAGCTAAATCAGGCAACCTTATCCCCAAAGGACTAGGATGCCCCCAGAAGTCATGTATGGACAAATAAACATTCCATCATTGTTGTTCATCTTCCATTCCCCCCATCCCTTCTAGCTGCCCACCCTCACCCCAGAGCAGAGAATTTAACGCCATCTACCAGGGCTTCACTTGCAGGTAATCCTGAGCAGGACCAGGAGGGCAGCTGGACAGGGTCACTCAGTGCAACCTGATCCCAAAAGTCTATGAGACACGATAAGCACATAAACTCATCAGAAGTTGGCTGAATCTATCAGAATAGCATCAAAATAGCCTGGCTCTTCCCGTTTTATTCAAACATGGATTACCAAAAAGACTCTTTTTTGGCCTTACACTTTGCCAAAACTCCTTTAAGGGCATCGTTTAGGCTTAGGTGAAATGGAAATGGTACTAGTTTTACAAATCCATGGGTTCCCAAGGCTAGAAATTCATGACAGGAAAATAGCCAAGGAATATTTCATTTTCTGTCTCTAGGCTAGTTGTGTATCTAACAGGCTGCCTTCAATACCATGGTTGAGAAGATGAACTCATAACCAGGCTTACAGAACTCACGCTTAGAAAACACAGGCTCATACTAAGAAAGATTTTATTTTTAACACAAAACAAATAGCATTAACACACATCCAAATGCCAGTGCAAGAGTTCACTGAATTTTGTAAGAGTCAGACATCAACTAAAAACTGGAACTACTCAAGAATGACCACTGCTTGTGGTAACATGAGTACATGTGCTTGTCTAAGAAGTCGTTCTATGTTTCCATACACATGGGAATATGAGACAAGAATGAAGAAATGCAAGGCAAAATGGCAGGTGATCAAAGCTTTAAGACCCTTTTCTCCACTCTAATGTGCTCTTTTTTTGTTTTTGAGAATTAAAGTAATCAGCAGGTTACTTTACAAAGAACTTTAATATCAAAGAACACTTTCAAAAGTCTAAAATAGATTCAAGGTCACTACTAAAGTTATACAGGGAGGTCAGTGAGGGAAAAAGTTTGTGTTCTCAAAAGCCAGATTTCACACAATGGCAGGCACTACATCTCATCACATGTGCTTGCATAGAAAAGATGCTGATCTCAATACAGGCTGGTCTTCTTCATGATGCGCAGGAACTCTTGCTCATTGACCTCTCCATCTCCGTCTCGATCAGCTTCGTCAATCATTTCCTGCGTGACAGTAAGATTCAGGTTGGGTTAATTCGTAATCTAAACTAAAAAGCAATTAAGCAACAGACTTTAATAATGCTACGTGACTAGATAATTGTAGTCCACTCGATGTCAATGTGCCATTTTTTATAATAGCTCAGTTCCTGAAAAGTTACTTGAGAACCAAGTCACTCCTTGGCATACATAACATCTGGAAGACAGCTTGAAGATCATCTTGACTAGAGGGATTCCTGAAACCTAAAATAGTAAGTAAAATTGTACATATGTACATTTTTCTGGACGCAAGGTTCATCGGTTTGTCAGACTATCAAAGGAGAATTAAGTTATCAGCAGAGGGACAAGAGTACACTAGCTTTCCTTCAATGAGGTGCTCACACCAGAGAAAATGTGACTCAGAAAAGTCACAGAGAGCTCAAAGGTGGGAATCCTGAATCCCCGTCTGATACATTACAAACCTGCAGCTCCTCATCAGTCAGGTTCTCACCCAACTCCTTGGCCACACGTTTCAGGTTTTTGAATGATATCTTCCCAGTTTCATCATCATCAAAGAGCTTGAAAGCTTTCAGGATTTCTTCTTTGGTATCTTTCTCAGACTTAAGAAGTAGAACAAAAAATGCATGAGTACAGTGATACTACAGTTACTCGTTTTGTATCCCCACCTCTGCCTAGTCACCCTCTCTTTTTCAACAACATAACTTGAGTCTAGATTTGGAGAAAGTGTTAAGAAGCCCATTTTGGCCTCAGAGCCATGCCAGGCAAAGCAGGCTCTCCAATCCAAGGTAATGTCTGCTCCCTAACTATTGCCCTAGCCCCTATCTATTTCATAAATGGTAAGGTCAGGTGTCTTCTTAGTGCACAAGCCAATAAATCTTGAGAAATAGGCACAAGGACTTGTTTTGGGGGCCCAAAGTAACGTAAGGGGAGGACAGGACTTCTAGTGCAGCTGCTGCCTTAACTGCTGTCTGGTCACATGATTTTTAACTGGCAGAGGCTGTGGGTCTCTGCCTCTGTGGAGGACTGGAGCTTGGCTTTTCAATGTGCACCATCAAGTATCACTAGGCATCTACACGAGTTACTCGTAATTGTGATTTTGTTTCTCTTGTTCAGAACTTTATCCAGTTCCAAAGCCAAGGAGGAATTTGTGGGGCAACTAATTTCTTAGATTCATTCCCTAACCCCTCCACCCTGCCCCCACATCACTACATGGTGCTGGTGATGGCCTTTATGATATAATGGGTCCTAGGTCACAAATGATCAAATATCATCCAGGGTAGAAAAAGACAATAAATTCAATAAAATTATTACAAACCCAGAGATTTAAAAGTAAATATAAAAGATTATACCTAAAACATTCTGTCTGTACAAAGCAAGAAGAAAGTGGATTCACTTTTAAAATATAGGAGCAGTGGGTAGAGTTAAAATTGGGGAAAATATACTGCTTATGCTAGTGGAAGAGGGATCCTCTTGTGGAGGGAGGAGGTAAAGCGGAAAGAGAGGGCTATTTTACTTATTAGATCACAGAGTGTTACTGGGGACCCAAGTACTCTAACAGAGGAAGAGAGTAAAATAAAATCTCCAGAAGCTCAAACCCCAGATATTCCTGAAAGGCACCTGCCAGTAGCTAAAGATAGAGAGAGTGCCTAAGAAGAGCAATTTGGGAACCAACCTCAAACATGGGATAGCTTTACTAGATGGTTGCAGGATGTTGAGCCTCCTGATGTCTTACATGGGTCCACAAAGAAAACTGAAGGTATGATTAGATGATTTCAAAGAAAGAGAACTGTTAGAGTGGGGAAAGAGGAAGGCCTATGCCATGGGAAACATACAAGTAGAGGGAAGATGAGCCATGCTAAGGAGGAGCCATGAGGCCCATGAAAGAGCAAGGCCTTACTTAGCTGCTGCCCCAGTGGGAACAGACCTCCTGGCGGGGCAATAGCTTATGTTCTCTTGGCCCTTTGAACTCTTTAAAAGGGTGACACCTGAGATTAGGGATGGATGAAATCAACCTTAGCAGCACTAAAAAAATCATATCCCTGTTGCAGGAAAAAGCAAAGCATGACTGCTGAAATAAACACCCCTCAGGCTGAGGCTTCTCTGAACAAAAAACTGGAGAAAGAGGAAGTTTGAAATTTAAAGTATATGGACTTTGTATTGCCAAAATGAGAGACATTTAAAAATTATTGTTGTTTGTAGGTTTTACCACTTATGGTTATCATATTGATGTATCAGTTGGAGAAAGATAATAACCAAAAAATGACAGAGGGTAAAGTGTCTTTTGTAACTTTGTGATCTTGCAGAAACCCAAACGGAACTTAGGCATCTTAATTCTCAGTCATTAATACTATCCTTATCAGGTAAACTCTCCAGATTTTATTGACTTTTCTTCAATGAAGTCATTTCCATATATAGATTCAAATTTATCTACCACTATGGGTGGAAAATATGCTGATTGTCTTAGCTAACTTACCATTTTCTGAGTCATCACAGTCAAAAAGTCACTAAAATTCATTTTCCCTGTCCCTTCCTTATCAATTTCACTTATCATTTTCTTGATTTCTTCTTTCTTGGGTTCAAAGCCCAGGGCTCTCATTGCCACCTATAATGAAAATGGGATCGTCTCAATATGTACATCTAAACCCAGCAGGAGCAAAAATGATAGTGTTGAGAGCATTAAGCTAGCATCTGACACAATAATGTTAAAATGATTGGGGAACACTGTAACATTGATCTAATTGACATCTGCAATCAATTTTATTTAATAACACTTGAGGTAAGTAAAGACAAGAAAACAGCACAGTACAACCTTTCTTGTTACTTTTTGCAGGGAAAAGAGGACAAAAGGAGTAGAATAGTGACAAGCAGAAGACAAAGCAAATGCACAGTAAAGGCAAGGCAGTACAGCAGGAATGTGCAGAGCTTGCCTTAAGTTCCTTAACATCTATAGTCCCAGTTCCATCAGCATCGAAGAGATCGAAAGCCTCCCGGATTTCCTGTTTCTGCTCTTCAGTAAGCTCAGGCTTAGGACTCATCCTTTTTCGCTGGGCACTTGATGCCATGTTACCCTTCTTAAAGTTGGAGGCCTTTACACATCATACAAACATATAAGCACATATTATATTATGTAATGTAGTCCATTTTTAAAGAAAGATAGCTACAGGCTGGTCCGAAGGTAGTGAGTTATCTCACGTGATTGTTCACAGTCAGTTACAGATTGAACTCCTTGTTCTACTACTTTCCCCCCTCCTCACTACTGCACTTGACTAGTCTTAAAAAAAAAATTTAAAAAAAAATAAAAAATAAAAAAAAAAGAAAGATAGCTACAGTCATCCATATCTATCTTTAAAATAGTTTATACCAACCAATTCCAAAGCTTAAGAAGAGAGATAATAGGGTTTACTGGAAATAACAGTGAATCTTTTCATGAATCTCTATCCCTCCTTCTTTACTATTGTTTCTAGAAGCAAGGAGATCACCTGGGGTTTTTTGGATACCTCTTATTGAAAACTGTCCTGAATGAGAGCTCATCCCAAAAGAAAGCTAGTCAAAGAACTGACTGTGGATAACTAGAGATAATCAGTTCTCCCTAAATGCGGGGATCCTGGCTCTGGAAACGACCTTGCAAAGTCCACTCGCAGTACTCTCCTTCCCAATAAGTACTACGACTTTCCGATTACTTCTAGATTTGACCAAGTATTAGTTAAGTTGTTAACCCGTATGCTGTCACTATCGAGTAATAAAACTCAATGCATTCAGCACCTTTGAGTCTTCTCCAAGAAGTCCAAAGCATTTCCTGAAGACTTCTGTATTTAAATTGTGAAATACATATTAACAATCAGAACACAACAAACCTCTTAGCTCTTCGCGGAAACTTTGGCAGAGCTAGGCCGCCAGGAGGCCAGGGTCTGAGAGGGGTCTGGGCCTGTGAGGAACTCGAGTCTTTTTTACCCAGAAAGTGTCACCGAGGGGACCAGGGAAGGCCAGGGGAGTCCGAGGGGCGGGTGGGTGCTTGCTGTGGGTGAAAGGGAGACATCAGGCAAGAGCAGGCCCAGCGGGGCGGCTGGCGTCTCTACCCCACCCTTCCGGGAAAGAGTTCAAAGGAAGGACGGGTGCGCCAAAGCTAAGAAAGGCTCAGAAGAGGCGGCTTGGCCGGGCAGGGGCCTGGGATGGGCTCAGCCTCTGGGTGCAGAGCGCGATGGGGCGGCCAGCACTCACCATAACCGACGAACTCCGCAGGCCGTTGTTACGGCAACCGACGTACACACTGACTCGGCGCCATTCCCACCGCCCCGCGCGCGCGGCCCCACTCCCCATTGGCTGCCAGCTCGCTACTGCGGCTCCCCATTCGCGTGGGGTCGGAGTAGGTGGGGCTAACCTGGCAAAGCCCAGACCCAGGCCAGTGTGATGCTCTGGCAACCGAGACCTGTCCTCATTGGGTAAGATCACGCCGCGAGCGCCGATTGGCTGAGCCTGCGCCGAGCTGGGCCAATCCTCTTGGTTGAGGAAGCTCGGCCGATTCTCGGCTCATGAGGGCGGGGAGAAAGGCGTGGAGGTCCGCAGCTGGAGGTAGGTGCGGGCTGCGTGCGAGCTGAGCCCGGCTAAGCGAGAGCCTGGTAAGAGTCGTGGCCTTGCCCTTGGAGGTCGCCTTGTGTCGGCGACAGGGCAGGATGAAAGGGTGAGGGGCGAGGTGGGACGGCCTGGGTCGGGTCCTTCCTGCTGTGCTCTAAGACTGAGTTAGGGACAAAGTGCATCGTGGGGACTGTACTCACGGGGCAACTGAGACCCGGAGAGGGCTAGGAGCATGCTAAGTGTCTTTGCACAGGTTGGACGGGTGGGACTTAGAAGCCAAATCCAGCTGATGCTCTTTCTTTGAGGGTATCCCTTCCAGAGCACCCCCAGCCTAAGCCAGATGAATAGACCTCAGACCAGGTTCCGAGAGAGGATCACTTTAGTCTCACCTGGCTAAAAGCAGCCCAGGACTGTGAGCGGGTGGCCTTGGGAACGGACTTTGAAAGGATTGAAGGGATATGAGTGAGCATGAGGGGCTAGGAGAGGTCATCAGAGTATACTTTTTGACACCCAAACGCTCAAGGCAGGTAGGGAGAAGCATTCCAAGCCGAGACGCTGTCGTGAGCAAAGTCACAGGAATTTTGGAAGTGAGAGGTATGCTTGGAGAATTAAAAGGGAGCACGTGTACAAGGCTGCGGACTGAGTTAGAGCTGCAGAAGTGGAAGCCCAGAGTCTGCCCTAGCCAGCTCTGTGGCTTTTGACCTTCACCTGCTTCCCTCCAGGCATTAGGGCAGTAACTCAGGGAGGCAGAGGGCAAAAGCACAAATTTCTCAGGCTGAGAAAGGCCTGAGGCTTGTTAGCACCCCTTAAATGGAACTTCTGCCCTTTGCCCTCATCCCCTTTGAACAGTGAACCAGATTCAAACAGTTGGGTCATATTTGACTCCTTCTTTCCCTGTCCTCTCCCCTGTATCCAGCCTCCTTATTAGCTCTGACCCTGAAATGCTGTTTCTTTTCTCTACCTCGGATACTCCTCTCCTGATTTAGGCCTTCATCATCAGTCTCCCAAGTAGTATAAGCCAGAGTTTTCACCATGGTCTGCAAAGCCTGGCAGGACATGTCCCCTCACATCATGCAACACCTGCTCTTCTCCTCATCACCTCTGGCTCCCTTCAGACCCGGAACACTGGCTTTGCTTTGGGCCTCACGTGCCAGGCACACTTCTGCCTTGAACTTCTGCTCTCACTGTCTCCTCTTCCTGATGGCCTGTATCTTTCCCTCCTCCAGATCTTTGCTTGGCTATCACCTCAGTGAGGCCGCCCTAAGCACCATATTTAAGTACTGCAAGCCTCTAGTACGCCCAAGCCCCTTACCTTGCTCTACTTTTTTTCCTTTTCTTTTTCTTTTTATTTATTTTTTATTTTAATTAAAATTTTTGTATCTTGTCTCTTTTTAACACCCATTCATGTAGTCCAGACCAGAAGTTTTTTTTTTTCCTTTTTGTACTTATCACCTTCTAACCTACTGTATATTTTATTTATTTGTTTTGTTCTTTGATTCCCCTGCATTAGAAGACAAGCTCTCTGAGGACAGGCATCTTTGTTTTGTTCACTACTGGTGCTTCAGGACCTGGGACAGAGAGAGGTATATATTTGATGCTTACTAAATCTTGGTCCAATGACTGCTTAGTAGTCCTGGTTTCCTGCCTCTCACCTAACTAGGCCCCCCTGCTCCACCAGGCTGTTCTTCCCTGTGATCAACTCTAGCCAGGTCAGCTCCCTGCTCCTAAGCCTTTGGAGGTTTCCCATGATGATGAGGTAAAGTCCAGGCACTGCAGCGTGGCGGAGGAGCCTCCTGCCCAGGTTTGCCCTTGCTCGCCCTTCTAGCTTCCTATCCCTCCACACCCTGCTTCTCAGTCATTTGGTCTACTCTCAGAGTACAAGGACCGAACACAAGTTCTACCCAGGCTGTGTGTGACTTAGGCAAGTCACTTGACTTCTCATCTATTGACTGAGACCAGAAAGAACTGTCTAACTGACTGGATGCTTTGGGATCGTAATGGGATCATGAATTCACATGTAAAAGGGCCTGATGGTCTTCAGGCAGTATTACAGTTGACCCTTGAGCAACACCAGTTTGAATTGCATAAGTCCACTTATGTGTCGATTTTCTTCTGCCTCCACCACCCCTGAGACAGCAAAACCAACCCCTCCTCTTCCATTAATCAACTGTTTATATTATTGGTGAGACTTTTGGTCAAAAGTAGCCTATTGGTAGTTAAGTTTTGGGGGAGTCAAAAGTGAAAATACATGGATTTTCAACTGTGTGGAGGATCAATGCCCCGTAACCCCAGTGTTGTTCAAGGACCAACTGTAGTTCTTTTCTCTGATTTGCTCTTGTCATTCCTGGTGCTTGGCATGCCTGGAACCTGAGGCTTGCCCCAAATTTCTTCCCCACACTGCAGCAAGAGTGATCTTTCTGGTCACAACACACCACTGTCTACAACTTCCAGGGGCTCTCCCATCTTCCCCCAGGGCACCCCTTAGCATGGCACACAGCCCCTGCGTGTTCTCAGCTGTGCTCCCAATCTGGCTTCACACTTGCTGTTACACAACTCATCACAGTTGCCAGAACACACTGGCTGTGTACCTTAACATCGTCCTTTCCCATCCCAGCCATAGAGTCTTTCAGGACACCCTTACCCTTTGTTAGACTCACTCTTCTTGGGCCTTTAGAACTTGGCTCAGAGACCGCTACCTTGGGGTGGGTGCCCTGTATTGGTGCTTGGGGCCCACCCTCATCGGAGCACAAATGAACTTCTGTGATTCTCTGGTCACTCCCTGTCTCCTGTGCTAGATGGTGGGCTCCTTGAAGGTTGGAGCTGTGTCTCAGTCAGCTTGTGCCTGGAAGTAGCCAGCATGTTGTGACTTGTGAATGGGGGAATGAATGAATGAGGTGACGCCTAGAGGATTATTTTTATATGTTTCAGTTCCCATTTTAACCCAGGGGCTTGTTTGAGTCTCACAGCACCTCTAAGGTAGACAGGAAGGATTGCTGTTTTACACATGAGGCCTCTTCGCTAGCAGCAGCGACATAATTCACCAGATAGTCACTCAAATCCATATTCCATTCCAGGCTCTCTGCTGGGCCTCGAGGGGCTCACAGCCCAGTGGGTCAAGACAGGTGTGAAAAACAAAAAGTCTAATGCAGTACGCTAAGTGTTAGGACCAGAGCATAAACAGGGACTGAGGAAGCAGCTCACCTCTTCTGGGTAGGGGGAGGAGGTTTCACAGGGGGCAGTTAAGCTAGGACTTACAGGATGAGGAGGGACTCACCATGTAGGGGAGGAAAAGGTATTCCAGGCAGAGGAAACAGCAGGAGTCAGGCTCCCAGGCATGCTGTTAGGTTTCTGAGTGGTCCTCCACAAAATCCAAGGTAGGGGCTTACCATGTCCAAAAATAGACTAGCAAAGAGACAAACAACTGACAGAAACATGCAGACACCGCGGGTCTGTGGAAGGGTGAGGTTGAGTTGTATTGCCCCAGCATAGTAAGGGCTAAACTGAAAGCTCTAAAGAGAAATGACCTTTTACCCATCAGCCTTACTGGTCCTAACCCATGTATTTTCTTCCCCATATCATATCTTTGAGTTCTGAAAAGTAGGCATTGCTTTTGCTCTCGCAGAACTCCTGCTTTACATAATTTTCTCAAAGAAATATATCCATAATGAAGGCATGTGCTGGCCTCAGGTGAACTCTTCTCTTTCTCTTAAATCACCAGGACCAGGCTTGCAGAGGGGCTGAGCTCGAGGCACAAGGTGACAGGAGACAGGGGAATCCTCTTTTACAATCCCAGGCTCAGTTCCCCATATCAGGATTGCAAAGAAAGGTCTAAGAAATGCTCCTTGGCTTCCCTTGGATAGCCACTCTACTGATTGAGGAGTTTGGGAGAAGCGTGCTGTCTGCCTGTGGACTGAAGTGACATGTTTTCAGTGGCCACATTCCAGCTTCCTACACTGGACTCCATGGAAGGCAGAGCTCTTATGACCTTTCCCCTTTACAAAGAGACCACACTAACACTTTTTAGAAGGAGGAGACATTCTCATCTCTCTGTCTGGCTTGAAACAGACTGTCCCTTCCTTTTGTCTCCAGGAGTCTCTTTTCATCAGATCCTATCTCCAGCTTCACCAGTACAAGATGAGTCTCTTTTCCTAAATGCTGCTTAGCCTAAGACTTTGTCTTAATGTATACAGTAGATGCACACATTGGTTTTTAATGGATTCAAAGACCTAACATTTTAAAGGAAAATGACTTGAGGCTTCTGCTGTATGGACCCTCACAATCCACCAGTCCCTAGAACATTGCTCTTGGGGACTTATTTTCAATAGTTCAAGCTATTATTCTGTATGTATATGTGGTAAAGTAAACATAACAGAAAATGTTCCATAGTAACCCTTTTTAGGTACATGGTTTGGTGGCATTAAGTACATTCCCATGTTGTATGACCATCACCACCATCCAGCTCCAAAACTCTTTTCATCTTATGAAACTGAAACTCTGTCCCCATTAGCAATCACTCCCCGTTCCACCTCCCCTCAACCCCTGGCAACCACCATTCTACTTTCTGTCACTAGGAGTTTGACAACTCTAGGTCCCTTACATAAGTGGAATCCTACAATATTTGTCCTTTTGTGGCTGGCTTATTTCACTGAGCATAATGTCCTAAAGGTCCATCCATGTTGTAGCCTGTCTCAGAACTTCATTGCTTCCTATGGTTGAATAATAGTCCTCTATCAACGGACATTTGGATTGCTTTCACCTTTTGGCTATAGCGAATGGTTAGGGCATGAAGTCTGCATGCGGGGGGAGAAAGAATTCTCAGTGACTAGGATATCCAAAAGTAAACGTTTATTTATTTTCCTGAGAATGAAAGAAAGAGGGGGGAGAGAGAGAGTGAGAGTGTGCCCACAACACACAGAGAAAGGAAAGAAATGTCGGACCACGAGGAAAACTACTTGGTCCTTTTAAAGGGTAGAAATGGCTTTTTTCTCTGCTTCAGGGGACTGATAACAAAAGTGACCGTGAAGCTGCTGTGTTGGCTTTTTCCGTTTCTCGTGTAGCAGATTGGTAGCAGACATTAGTTTCTTCTTTCTTCTTGCTAACGGTACTGTCTCTCCTTGAGGAAACAGGGGAAGCTCACACTCCTACCATCTGCTTAGGAACTTTTTAAAGGCTAAGAACTCAGAGATAACAAGTTAGGCAACAGTGTTTTAATTAAACAAGCAGTAGTTGTGTTGTGAGTGTATTTCTCTTACTTTCTGTTTGATAGTTTATTTTCCCTTGTACATAGGCTATTAGTAAGACCACCTTTCATGAATAATGTTATATGAACATGGATATACAACAATCTGTTCAAGTTCCTGCTTTCAGTTTTTGGGGGTGTATACCCAGAATTGAAATTGCTAGATCATATGGTAACCTGTTTTAATTTCTGAGGAACTGCCATAGTGTTTTCCATAGCAACTACGCCATTTTATATTCCTATCAACAGTACATAAAGGTTCTGATTTCCCCACATCCCTTCCAGCACTCATTACTTTCTGTTTTCTGGCTTTTGATGCTAGCCATCCTAATAATGGGTATGAGGTGATATTGTGGTTTTGATTTGCATTTCCTTAATGATTATTGATATTGGGCATCTTTTTTTTTTTTTTTTTTTTTGAGACAAAGTCTCGCTTTGTTGCCCAGGCTAGAGTGAGTGCTGTGGCATCAGCCTAGCTCACAGCAACCTCAAACTCCTGGGCTCAAGCAATCCTTCTGCCTCAGCCTCCCAAGTAGCTGGGACTACAGGCATACGCCACCATGCCCGGCTAATTTTTTCTATATATATTTTTTTAGTTGTCCAATTAATTTCTTTCTATTTATAGCAGAGACAGGGTCTTGCTCTTGCTCAGGCTGGTTTCGAACTCCTGACCTTGAGCAGTCCACCCGCCTCGGCCTCCCAGAGTGGTAGGATTACAGGCGTGAGCGATATTGAGCATCTTTTCATGTGCTTCTTGGCCTTCTGTAAAGTAGATCATCTTTGGAGAAATGTCTTTTCAATCAGAGCTATGATTGATCATTTTAACCTGAATGTATATCACATGTTGGATGTAGGTACGCAGGCTAGGGAGGAGGGTTGCCAGTGGGATTTGGCTCATTCTCTAGGCTAGTCCTTGGTACCCCACTCCCTAGAGACAGCTAGGCTGTCACCAGAATTCTTATCTGACTTATAATATTTACAGACTTCAAAAGAATTGCTGTATAATTTGAGGAAAAGTAGGTTTTGTTTTGACAATAGGCTGGTTTGCTAAGAATTGTATGATCATTGTTTGAACAGTACAGCCCCATCATGGCATGACATGTTTCTTCTTTCACCTCCCGCATCCTCCTGTAGCAAGCAAGGAGGGGTGTAGGCGCTAAAGCTTCTTGCTCTTGCTAGTAGTACGTGGGCCTATGGGATTGGCAGCTGTGCTGTGTGGATTTGGGAGCTATAAACAATACTTCTATGAGTGTCCTGGGTCAACTATAGCAAATGACCACAAACTGGGTTACTTAAAACAACAACAATTAATTCTCTCACAGTTCTGGAGGCTGGAAGTCTGAGATTGAGGTTTTAGCAGGGCCACATTCCCTCCAGAGGCCCTAGAGGAGGATCCTTCCTGCCTCTCGCAGCTTCTCGTGGCTCCAGATGTTCCTTGGCTTCTGTCTGCATCACTCCAATCTCTGCCTTTGACTTAATGTGGCCTCCTCCTCTTCTCCCTGTATCTCTCCTCTGTATGACTCTTACAAGAACACTTGTCGTTGGATTTGGAACCCACCAAGATAATCTCCCCATCTTGTGATCCTTAACTTCATTATATATGCAGAGACTCTTTTTCTATATAAGTGCACATTCACGAGTTCCAGGGATTAGGCCATGGACAGATCTTTTGAGGGACCACCATTCACCTGACTACAACAATCCAGAACTGTCTTCACATGTCAAGGTGGAGGCCATGGTGTTTCTTTAGAGCCCTGTGCCCCTTCATTGGCAGAGATCACTCCTGACCCCCTCCCAAGGGGCCATCCCTGTGCAGAAGGTTCCATTCACTACAGATGACTCTTGTCACCTGATTCTTTTGAAACAAGTGCTCTGGTGTCCTGAGTGTTAACCTACGGACCAGCTCAGCCACCGTGGTGCCAAGAACATTCCCACCCTGTGACTGCCACAGAGATCTTAAGCAAAATAGCCACTTATTTTCCTCCCATCATTAAAGGGGCTCAGAAGGATTTTTGTCATCCTTAGACACCCTGAACAGCCCCTCCATTGGTCCATTTCTTTTCTTACTTCTCATGCAAAGCCTGAGGTTGTGGAGGTGATTCAATCTGTCCTTCAGCTCCTATGTTTAGTTAGAAGAGCTGAGTGAAGTGTTTGGGGCCAGTCGCTATGCTGTTCCTCGAATGAGGCAAGAAGGGGAATAGTTGGCTTATGAGTCTCCCTCCATCTTAGTTCCTCTTCACACCCTGCCCTGAACTACTGCTGAGTGTACCCTTTACAGTACAAATCCTTGGTTGTTTTAATATCTTCATTAGTCAGTATCTGGTTGTTGCGAGAAGTCCAGGAATTAGCCTTTAGGCAGGACCTGGCAGCATTTTCAGGGCAGACAAGACAGCCCCTGCCTGCCCAAGCTTACAGGACACAGCAGCAGGTACAGCAGGAGAGGTCTGAAGTGGCAGAGGGATTCCAAAGAGGGCCACAGAGGAGGCATGGTAGGGATGACTCCTGCAAAGGAAGGGACTGTGGGGAAAAGAGAGGTGTCAACATAAAAAAGCCAAACTCTGCAAAATAATTTTAAAGAGATTTATTCAGAGCCAAATTTGAGGACCATGACCCGGAGCCACTGCCAAGAGTCCTTGGGCACGTGGACTCGTGGCTGGGTTATAGTTTGGTTTTTATACATTTTAGAGACAGGGGTTACAGGTAAAGCCATCAATCAATACGTGGGAGGCACACATTGGTTTGGCCCAAAAAGGTGGGACATCTCGAAGGGGGGGGGGGCTTACAAGTTATAGGTGGGTTTAAAGATTCTTTGGACTGTAATTGACTAAAGACATGAAGCTTTGTCTAAAAGCTTGGAATGTTTTAATATAAACTGTTTACCAGAGATAAGCCACCACTTGTTGCATAAATTCAGGACCTGCAGGTTTGTCTTGCATACCCTTAGTCCTGCTATTGGTTTATAAAGGAAGTCTCCAAGAAGGGAGGGGGCATCATAAGGCATGTCTGACCTCTCTCCTCCTGGCAGGGTCCATTCAGTCAGCCGATGGGGGGGGGGGGTTTGAGCATTTTAATTTACAGGGGGATGGGTCAAGCAGGGAACTACAGGTTGACTTTGTTTATTTGTTATGTGCATTCTAAAAAGGGCCCTAAAACGTCAAGTTTTAAAATATATTGTCCTAATAACTTTCATTACGAGTTTAGAAAAATGCTCCCCCAAATGGCCCCATCTGATATTGAGGGTCCGAACATCCATTTTAAGGCCATTTTGGCCTTCAACACGCCTACAAAATCAGCTCCCCACAGGGACACATGATTGTGTCCTTTTGTCAGAGGTGGCGAGGGGTATAGAACTGGAGGTGTGGGATGGAACTGGAGCTGTCACGGAGCCTGCCAGCTGCTGCCTCCTCACCGAGATGTCCTCGGAATCTCGTCTTTCAGGAGCAAAGTTATACTCTTTTCTAGTCATGGCTTTTGCCATCTCCACATGTCAGGGGATCTGTAACTAAGTAAATTGGCCACTACCAAGAAAACATAGGTGCAAGGCCAAATGCATCCTAATCAAATGGCTTCTTTGTAACTACAGTTCAGTACTGCAGATGGGTGAAGGGAGGAGCATGCCCTAGGGGCTCTCACTAAAGCCAGACTCCTATGTTTGGTAGCATTCTCAGATTTTGTCACTACTGCCTCCTGGTTGTGAACTGCTGGGTCCCCATCATACTCTGACCACTTCCCAAGGGTTCTGGTGACCCCAGACACTTGGTTCTTCCACACATAGTCAGGGTGGCTTTAACTTCTCCAAACAGGAGAGTCCCATCTCCCATTACACTCTAGCCGACCCCTGCCCCAGCATCCTATGCCTTGACATCCTGGGGATGTGCTCGTGAGTTCATCTCATTGATCGGGAAACTGTGCTGCAGCCGAGAGAGGTGACTGGAGCAGATTCACACAGTTCATGGTAGGGCCAGGACTGGAACCAGGACTCCCCAGGCCTACACACTGCCACAGTCTAATGTGCACCACGAGAGAGCTTGAGGATAATTGAAGCATGTGAATGCCATGGAGAAAGCTACACTGCAAAAGATGACATGATTTAACTGGCTTCCCACTCTGCCTCTATCCAAGTGTATGGTGAGTTGTGGGCCCACTGATGCCCGTCTCTAAGAGAACAGCAGACATCATAGGAATATTATCTGCATGCTTCCTTGCACAGCGATAGCCATGGGTCAGCTATTTGTGAAAACTCAATGGGAGGATGGCATCCACCCAGAAGACTAACAGCTAAAGTTATTTTGGCTTATACAACATTAACATCTATCTGTAAATATATCTTTCAGAAAAGAAGACTTGATTGCAAACAGAACTACATTCTGCATCGAAATGGAACAAGCAGTCAGTGAGCCAATGAGAGGCCAGGACATGCAGACGCATTTAGCCAAGGACTTTCCCAAAGTGAGAACTGACATGGGAAAGGTTAATCAAAATCAGGTAAAGGGAAAGTTGATACATGCATATCAGCAAGCTGTTGATATTTACCTGTGAGTCAAAAGTTATATTTGTACATTTATTAAATCAATCAGTGTAGGGTATTTTTATTATATATAAGATATTAATATATAGCTTTATTTAACATTTATAAATCACTTATTGCTGTGTAACAAATATCAGAATCCAGTGGTTTAAGAGCTCATGACTCTGTGGTTTGGGGTGGGCCTAGCTGGGGGGGTCCTAGGCTGGTCTCCCCTGGTCTCATGCATGTAGCTGCAGTCACACATCTGGCAGTAACTCTTGGCTGTCACCTGGATGCCTCGATTTGCCTTCACGTGGCCTCCAGTAGGCCACATTGGGCTTCCTGGTAGTGTGGCAGAAGCTTTGCCAGAGGGCGGCAGGAATAGATGCAAGGCCTCCTAAGATCTAGCGTTACAAGTCTCAGAAGAGACTTGAAGGAATTGTTGAGTTCAATCATTGTCAGGCCTCCTGAAGCATCTAGGTCTGCAAAGGCTTGGTTTGATTCATTCTTTTTTTTTTTTTCCTTTTATTTCATCATATTATGGGGGTACAAATACTGTTAGGGTTACATATATTGCCCCTGCCACCCCTCCCCCACCCCGCCATGCCAGAGCTTTAAGTGCATCCAACCCCCAGATGATGCGCACCACACCCATTATATAAGTATACACCCTTCCCCTCCTCCCCCTTCCCACCTGCCCTCCACCTGATAAAAGTTTTTTGTTTTTTTTGACATTTTGGTTACATTGTATATCTTTGCCTCTCCCTAAGAAGGGTTGGAGGTATTCCCTTCCCCCCACAATGCTTGCCACATCCCTAAGTTGTGGGTCTCCCCCGAATCCCTGGTTTGATTCATTCTTAATGCATGTTATACTTCAGAAATGTAATCACACCAAGGTGAAATGTTATTTTTATATCAAATGTTAATAAATTAAAGATCCCCAAGCCCAAGGGGTTCTTGTGGGCCACCAGATCACCCTGGTTTTGTTGTAGAGCTTGGAGTAAAGCTTCCTCTGGGCATCTGTGGTTGGAGCCATTTGCCATCTGCAGTCCCTTGTGTGGGTAAATTAGGATTTTATTGCTACTTAGCAGCCAGAAAAAAAAAAAAAAGTCTAGGTTCCAATGGTTACGACAAACTGCCATTGTCATCTAGTGTCAAATTTTTGTGTTCTTCAAAATAACTTCTTTTTTTCTGATCGATTGACTTTATAGGAAGTAAAAGTTGTAAATTTAAACTACTAAAATAAAAAGAATACTTTGTCTTAACTTATATATTCTGCATAAGATCTCTCTGAAAAAAGAGTCCCACTGTTAATGACAAAGCAAAACAAGAAAGGTTGGGAAAAACACAATGGCCCAGACCATTCTCTTATGTCACGGTTATATTATAACTAAATTAGTTTGTGGAGATGGCTCTTTCCTATTTTTAATACTATCTTTAAGACGTTGATTTTATAACTCCCCTCAGTAACCTGCTTTTGAGTCCCACTGCCTGTTTCCAGTCTAGAAATTTATTCTGAATTATTAGCACATACTCTTTCTTATCCACTGTGGCCATGAAAATGGGTGTTTTACATGACCTCCTCTAACCCCATAGCATTATAGATGTGATTAAAGACATCACCCCGGCCTGGCGCAGTGTCTCATGCCTGTTATCCTAGCACTCTGGGAGGCAAGGTGGGCAGATCGTTTGAGCTCAGGAGTTCGAGACTAGCCTGAGAAGAGCAAGACCCTGTCTCTACTAAAAATAGAAAGAAATTAGCTAGACAACTAAAAATATATAGAAAAAATTAGCCGGGCGTGGTGGCACATGCCTGTAGTCCCAGCTACTTGGGAGGCTAAGGCAGGAGGATGGCTTGAATTCAGGAGTTTGAGGTTGCTATGAGCTAGGCTGATGCCAGAGCACTCTAGCCCAGGCAATAGAGTGAGACTCTGTCTCAAAAATAAATAAATAATAAAGACATCAGCCCATCACACATAGACTTCTCAAGGGTAAAGGCTGGTTTGATTCCTGTCACTACAAAACTTGCTATGGAACAGCTGTTGGCCCGCTCATCCCAAGCAATGTTGGTACAGCATTTTAGTATAATAAAATAATCCATGGCACCCTGTCCAAGGGTAGAATACTGATAAGTCACATTTAAAATCGTGAAATGGAATTGCATTAGAAATAATAGAAAGGTTATTTATTTTTTGAAAAAAATTAGACTAAACACCTGTAACTAGAGATGCCAGATAATATAAATGAGGCAAGCTCAAATCCTTCAGGATGCTGTCAAACATGTCTCATTCTGGCCGGGTGCGGTGGCTCATGCCTGTAATCCTAGCACTCTGGGAAGCCGAAGCGGGAGGATCCTTTGAGCTCAGGAGTTCGAGACCAGCCTGAACAAGAGCGAGACCCCATCTCTACTAAAAAAAATAGAAATTATCTGAACAACTAAAAATATATAGAAAAAATTAGTCGGGCATGGTCGCGCATGCCTGTAGTCCCAGCTACTCAGGAGGCTGAGGCAGGAAGATTGCTTGAGCCCAGGAATTTGAGGTTGCTGTGAGCTACGCTGATATTACAGCACTCTAGCACAGGCAACAGAGTGAGACTCTGTCTCAAAACAAACAAACAAACAAAAATCCAATGTATCTCGTTCTGACCCTCTTTTACAAACTTGTAGTAAACCAAGAAAACCTAGGTTTGGAAATGGGGAAGTTTGGTGTTAATCTAAATAACCGTAGATTGCCTGTGCAGGTGACTGGGGACGAGGGGAGAAGAAAGGGGTTGCCAGAAAGGGGATTGGTGGGAGTTTTATATTTAACTTGGCTATGACCTGAGGAAATATTATCAATGTCAGTCAAGGTGCTAATTATTTACCATGGTGTGATGACATGTATATAGGAATAACTAGAACAAAGCATAGAAAAGGATGGAAAGTTAGTTTGGGGTGGCAGAAGAATGGCAAGGCCGATTATGTCAGTGGATTACGCGTGAACAAGTGATGCCAAGGTTATAGCACTATCTAGACGGGCCTGGTGGAATCTAGCACAAGGGCCATTTCAGAGCTGTAGAAGGTGTCTGGCGCTGGCATCCGTGAGTCTCTTGCACAGCTCAATTGTGTCAATGTTTAAGGAATAAGTAGGGAGGTCTGTTTTTAATCAGGACCAGAATTTCTTTAAAATAATTAGTTTCTACATACCCAACTCAGATTTACTGTACATGAACTACAGAAAATGAAGGTTTGTCACCTTAAGGAAGCCCAGATGCAGTTTTAGAAAGACCCTAGGGAGGAGGGATATTACAGGTCCTCCTTTGGGGACATTTGTGGCCAGCTTATTCAGCATGCAGCAGCCACAATGTTGCATTGACGTGCTAGACTCAGAATATTTAAGCGCCTGCTTGTGGTACTCTGGCTTTCCACTATCCCCAGATACCAGCATTGAAATTACTCAAGAAATTGTATACGCTAGAGAGGCTGAAGTGTAAACGCCATAGCTCTCCGCTGGTTCTTCAACTTCCTGGAAGTTCAGAGGAGATAAAGCAGAGCCTGGGCTGGGCCCTGTGAGGAGCAGTTCACCCATCCTCACTACAGCCCTACCTGGAGATCCCATCAAGACAGTCTTAGAACACTAGGCTCAGGTGAGAAGGGGTTGGGTGATCACAGCCCCCTTGTGGTCAGGGAGGAAAAGGGACAGACTTTGTCCTGTGAGCATTTGATAGTTTCCACTTGATGTTTTAAATGGAAACTATCAAATGGCTGGGGTGTTTTTTTTTGTTTTTTCCTTTTTTCTTTTTTGGCCTTAGAGAAGTGCCCAGGGATCAAATATTGGGACCAACAAGGTATCACTTTTGGGGTTTTGTTTGTTTGTTCAGATTGTCCAGTTTTGATCATAGGTGGTTTAATTTTCTTTCACTTACAAAACATGGTTCTTGTCATCAAATCCAAGCAAAGTCTATCTCAGTATCATCTGTTCTCTCTTCCCTCCTTACTGATCCCAGGAGAGTAGGCTGCATTACTGATAGAACAGCAGAATTACATAAAGCTTCCAGCTTGGCTCCGGAAGAGTTTTGAGCAAAACAAACAAATGTATCAGCCATTGCAGTGGCTCAGCATGTGTACGTGGGCTCCTTATAACTTCTGGTCCTTCCCCACCCTCCCTCTTTCCACAGGCTAAGAAATGCACAGTGATTGGAGGCTCTGGATTCCTGGGGCAGCACATGGTGGAGCAGTTGTTGGCAAGAGGCTATGCTGTCAATGTGTTCGATATCCAGCAAGGGTTTGACAATCCCCGGGTGCAGTTCTTTCTGGGTGACCTCTGCAGCCAACAGGTAATGGATCACACAGCCTTGCTGCCAGGTCCCCAGAGGGACACCATGGCACTTCCTGTGCTCAGAGGCCAGCCAATATGTTGTTTGAAAAAATTGTTTTTTTTTGAAAAATTTTAAAGGTAAAGGACAGAATTTAGCACACACCCACATTCTTACTACTCACAATGACTTACTGTTGTCTCTATTGCAACTACCAGTTCTGCTGAGGCAGCATGAAAGCAGCCATGGTCAGCACATAAGGAATGTGCATGGCTGTGTGCCAATAAAACTTTACCAAAAAGGCTGAAGTGTGCCGACTGCTGCTCCAGGGTAGACACCCAAAAGAGCAAGTGCTGGGCCACAGGGTGTCTTTATTAAGATATAATTCATATACCAGAAATTTCACATGTTAAAGTATGTAATTCAGTGGTTTTTACTATATCCATAAAGTTGTGCAGTCATCTCCCACTATCTAATTCCAGAACATTTTCATCCCCCAAAAAGGAAATCCTATCCCCATTCAGCCCCCATTCCTCCCCCTGCCTTCCCAGCCCCTGGCAACCAGTGATCTGCTTTCTGTCTCTGTAGATTAGATTTCTTTGACTGGCTTCTTTCACTCAACCTAATGTTTTCAAGCTTCATCCATATTGTAAGGGTGTTAGTATTTTGAATCTTATTAGATTTTGCCAAACGGCTGGACAAAGCTTCCATGTGAGTTTTATATTCACATGAGCAGTGTGGTAGATTCCCCATGGCTCCACATCCTTGCCAACGTTGAACATAATTAGACTTTTGGGTGTTGCCATTTTGAAGAGTATGAAATGGTACTTTAGTGATAATCAGAGTCATGTGTCCCCCCTGACCAGGTGACTAGGTACCGTGCTCTTTCCTGGTGGGTATTCAAGTTTCCTCCTGTGTGAAATTTTGTGTGTGTCCTTTGCCCATTTGTCTTTGGGGTTACCTTGTTTTCCTTACTGACCTATTTGGAATGCCAACATTGTGCATGTTTACACATATTGCTGATGACTTCCCTCAGCCTGTCTCTGGGCTCTTACTCTTACCTTTGATGCTATTTGCCATACAGTTTTTGGTCTTGTTTTTGTTGTTTAAGTTGTAAGGCCAGGCTGGGTACGGTGGCTCACGCCTGTAATCCTAGCACTCTGGGAGGCCGAGGCGGGCGGATTGCTTGAGGTCAGGAGTTCGAAACCAGCCTGAGTAAGAGAGAGACCCCGTCTCTACTATAAATAGAAAGAAATTAATTGGCCAACTAATATTTTGTTGTAAGGTTTGGCAAATGGTGACATGCTATCATTTCCTTCATTAGTGGCTCAAATCTTTTACCTTATGCAGATTAAATGCCTGATTCTTTCCCTTTATTTACGTTTTGGAAAGATTTGGTGTGTGTGTGGTGTTGTGTTGTTTTGTTTTGGGACAGAGTTATTTGTTGCCCAGGGCTAGAGTGAGTGCCGTGGATCAGCTAGTCACAGCCACTCAACTCCTGGCTCAAGCGAATCTTCCTGCCTCAGCCTTGAGTAGCTGGACTACAGGCATGCGCACATGCCCGGTAATTTTATGTGTATA